GAAAGAGAGAGAGAAAGAAAGAGAGAGAGAAAGAAAGAGAGAGAGAAGTGGCGGAAAGTTGATTTTCAGGCTGGAGGTCCATGGCTAGTGGTGTTCTGCAGGGGCCCTTAGTGGGACCTCTGCTGTTTGTCATATAAATGACATGGATGGAAAAGGTAGATGGGTGAGTTAGTGAGCTTGCAGACGATACAAAGAAAGATCGGTGGAGTTGTGGATACTGTAGAAGTTTGTTAAAGGATACAGTGGGATCTAGATCAGTTGCAAATATGGGCACAGAAATGAAAAGGGGAGTTTAAACTGGCTAAGAAAGAGGTGCCACACTTTGAAAGACTAAATGTTAAGAAAAAAGTATACAGTTAATGGCAGGATATGGCACGATTTAATTTATTGGTTGGGGAATTGAGTACAAGAATTAGGATGTCACATTGCAGCTTTATAAAACTTTGGTTAGGCCTCACTTACAGTATTGCACTTAATTCTGATCACCACATTACAGAAAGGACGTGAAAGCTTTGGAGAGGGTGCAGAGAGGTTTACCAGGATGCTGCCTGGATTAGAGGGTATCAACTACAAGGAGAGGCGAGAAAGAGTCAGGTTTTCTCTGGAGCAGCAGAGCCAGGAGGAATCTTGATAGGAGTCTATAAAATTATGAGATGCATAGATAGGGTTGATGGTCAGAATCTTTTTGCCCCCAAGTTGAAATGTCTAAAATCAGGGGGCATGCATTTAAAGGTAGAGGGGAAAGTTCAAAAGAGACTTGAAGCAAGTTTCCTTTTTAAGCACAAAAAGTGGTAGGAGTGTATTTGCTGGGGCAGGGATAGAGGCAGATATGTCAGGGGCATTTTAGATACTTGGAGATAATCACACGAATGTGCAAGTAATGGAGGGATATGGGCCAAGGGCAGGCAGAAAGGATTCAGTTAAAATTTGGCTTCATTTTCAGCACAACATGGTGGGCCGAAGGGCCCATTCCTGTGCTGTACCCAGCTCTACATTGTCGATCATTTCAGGAATTGAGCCGTTGCTATTGGTGTTACTCTGCATCGCAAATCAGTCGCCCAGGTGACTGATTTAACGGACTCCTGAAATATTAAGAAAAACGGCCAGTTGGTGCAGGTAGTCGGACAGCTGCTTGGCAGTGCGGAGTGACGCCAATAGTTTGGGTTCAATTCCTGCACTGGCAGAGGTTACCATAAAGGACTCGTCATTACTACCCCATGAAGCAGGACGAAAAAAGTTTAGGACAACATTTATTCAAAATTGCGTGATTTTAAAGCAAAGATCATTCTCATTTAAAAGGACAAATCTGAACAAATTTGACAAATCAACACAGCTGAAAATTCACAAACTACATTTAGAAAATAGTTCTACGCTCTTTAAAGGAAACTATTTACCTGTATGTCCTGTTCTTTGCTTGTTACACAAAGATATCTATCTTCCAAAGATTCCTCCATCAACTTTATTTGCTGGTCTTGCTCCACAATCCTTCAAATTGAAAGGAATTACGTTAATTAAGCATTCAAGGTGATAGATTATCCTCACATTATCTCACCAATGGCCAAAATGTGTGGGCTTGAATTACTTTACAGGCCTTGCATTTAGTAAACCAAAGGCCCAGAACAATTAAAGACAGAGTTAAAACAACAAGCACATCCAGGTTAATCTTTCCTTTTACCCTCCAAGGCACTGACGTATGCCTCTGGGCCCAATATATTTAGTGCCCTCCATCCCTTAACAGCATTCTCCAGATGAACAAAATGTAAAGAGACCTGTCTGGACAGGTTATGACACATGAAAAAGGACTTGAACCCAGGCCTTCAGGCAAAGAGGTAGGGACACTACCATAACACAAGACCCCTTAAATAGTTTTCAAAATGACTGTTCCAGAAAGATCACGATCAATCCCACCCCGCCTCTCAAATATCCACCCCAGTAGTCACTTTGTCCTTTGTAACGAACGTAGTTGTTTCCTTGATCTGTATGGCCAGGTTAGGTGTCAGAACATACTAATTCAGGCTAGCTTTTAATGCCCAATCACTACTCTAGCCAAAAGCCAGGTTTTAGCTTACAAATAAATAGCAGGCCAGTACAACCAAGCAACAACCAGCAAAAGTAACAATTGGAAATGCATATGAAAAAGCAGTCAGTCAAAAAAAGGTTGAGCAATGGTGAGCAACACGTTCACATTTTATGCTTCTTTTAACACACAAATATCCAAGATGCAGGATACGTGTTTGCAAAGGGAGCAATTTTAGTCAAGTGCCTGTGACAGGTTAGCTTTTAAATCCTTGGGGAGCAGTTAAACCCCAGAATAGGATGGAGCAGCCATGTACATTATTGGCCATGTTTATTTAATGTTACCCTTCACGATTCCTAGTTAATTAGTTGTACTAGTGAAAAAGGGAAAGATCAAGAGGCCCCATTTGATATTTCTCCAATTCCTGAAATGCCAAACATCAAATGAGAGAGATTTCAAATTGAAGGGCGGACAGAACTGCACTCGCCATAGAAGGTGATGCATCTTCCTATAGAAAGTATGAAGTTGTACCACCCTGCTCATCTCTGGCTTCCCTGCTGACCTCATTGTCAGTTCTATTCAACTTGAGCAGGGTCCTCTATGACTGAAAAGGTCAGTTGTGTATTTTATTCAAAAAAAACTTACTTTTTCTTCAACTCATCCACTACACATGCTGCAGAAGCCTACATGTAAAAACAAAATGAAGGAAGATGCATAATTTGACAAACTGCATTTTTGGTTACAATCTGAAATACTGAGTATATTAGAAACAGGAAACTCATTTTCGATATTGATCAGGTTTTCTGCAGAGTACATCAAAAGATACAAGATGCATTAATATGCATACACACTTATGTAAATGGATTAAGGTTAACAAAAAAGTTGCATTACTCAGAACATAGTTTGGAGTCTGTAATAGTTAAGCAGAAATTTAAGCACTTCCAATTGAAGTATAAATATAAATACCAAAGTAGTGTCCAATCACCATATGGAGAACAAATTTATTTTCTCTGCATTTGATGGGAAACGTTCAGATTAAAGCTGGTGATCCCAGAATTTACAACAGTTCTTTCATTTTTTCCCTTAAAAACTAAGATGTACATCAACATTTTTACTGGCAAAACGAGCACTTTTTAAAAGCTGTCACTAATTTTAAAAAATCCATAACCATGGATTATCTGCCCCCAAACTGCGATTAAACACACTTTCATAGATTTTACTTCAGTAGCAAAGTAAAATGTCCATTAACATCCATACTGCATAATTTTATTGAATGAAATTTCAGTGGCAGAGTATACAACTGTGGAGGCAAAGTAAAGTAATTTTGCTACCTTTCAACAGCTACATCCACATGCTCTTTGAGCACAATTGCATTACAGCTTAAAAAAAGACCAAATAACCAACTTCTGTATCTTAATGAGGAGTATGACCAAAATAGCAAACTTTGGTTGATTTTATTTTCATAGCTCCCCTAAGTAGCACAACATGTTTGGAGTGTACAAGCCCTAACAGAAATTAGGTTAAGTCAACAAACTGACTGCAAATATGGCAATGTTGTTCAGTTTTTAAAACTAGTCTTTCTAAATATTAACAAAAATATTGTAGAAGCAGGAAATCTGAAACAAACAGAAAAATGGAGTAACTCAACAGCTCTTGTACCATCTTGGAGAGAGAAACAGTCGATGTTGAGTCTGGTATAACTTCTTCAGACCTAAAATAGGTATTAGGAACAGGCATTTTTCCCTAATACTTTTGCCCAGAGGCAGAAGGGGAACAATGGGACAGATGCTGTAAAGATCCAATGCAAAAGACAAGTTGGATGTTAACTGTGGTGCAATACCAAAGTGACATAAAATGGGTGTAAATTAAAGTCAGATAGGGATAGAATAGGAAAACCCCTTGCTCCTCCTCCACTCTGTGGGAAAAAAAAAATCATTTTCCAAAACCTTGCATTTCTGAACAGAAGTCATACTTGACTCAACATGAATTCTCTAATTTAGCCTACATTTAAGTTTTCTTCAAAAAGAACTAAGTTTTGAAGAATGCACATTTTTAAATCTCAAATTGAAATTGACACCTTCAGAAATGTTACTATACCTGTGATGTCACTTGTGCATGAAGATTTTGTATCTGAGCATTCATAGCTTGTTTCTGTTCCAGAAGGTCCTTTTATTTCAAGCGAGCAGCCAAAGAGAGTGGAAAAAATGTCATGATAAAAGCAGCAAAATGTTTGAAAATAACGCATACACAACAGCTTTAAAATCGCTTCTCTGAACGTAATGTTTACATTGTTCCAATCAACATATTTGCTAATTAGGATTCTATTTTCAGTAATTTATATGGCTCCACCTGTACTTTTCTAACCTACTTCAGCATCCAAAAGTCTTTAAAAGCCATGACTCTTAGATTAACTAAGCATTTTTGCTCAGGATAGGCATCAGGAAAGACAGAAGCTTTTGCATCAGTTAGTGAAGATAAAATTAACTCTAGTAATTGGAGAAAAAAAACATGAAAGTATGTTGGTGGAAAAAGAGTGTGCATTTGTGTATGGGAGTGGGGAGTTATATTGGGTAATTAGAAAAGAGAGGAGGAGGAAGTGCAAAAGGTTACAATCCATACTGGACCATTCCTCACCCAAAAAGGCACCAAATAACCTTTAACCTCTGGCAATACTGTGCCAATTATCAAGACTGATTCACATTTCAATTCTTCTCTTGTACAACTGAAATAGCAAATGTTATACCAAAAGAGCAATTATTTAGAATCCTCCACAGTTATAAAACCTGTCAATGCATAAAGATCATACAAAAAATTCTAAAAATTGCACAGACTAGATAGAGAATCTATAAGACAGGATGCAGTAAGAATCATTGCTTAAGTAGGGTCAGTTACAAAATAGCATACATAAAAACGATCTGCACGCTGAATTCTCTCCTTGGGCAGTAGGGGATGATGGGGTACAAGGGAAGAGCAGAGAGACAGAGACAACGAGAAGGCAGTCACCTCCAGAAGGAAAAATACACAATCCGAGCATCAACCTGTATGCAGTTTTTTCACTTAGATCTATGACTACCAATACCTGCACTTGTTTCTTCAGGGTCTCATCTGCAGTAGCTCGCTTTTGCTCTGCAGTTACCAGCTGCATAATCTTTTGTTCTAGTTGTTGTTTAGACACCATGGTATCAGTGAATTTACTATGCAAGCTCTGGATCTCTTTGGTTTTACTGCCAATTTCATTTTCGGCAACCAGAAGTTTATTTTGTAAATCTAAAGAAAATATTACAATAAAGTCACAATCAATAAAGTTAAGACACTTCTGTTCATGCTTGTAAAAAAGTACCACTTTCTCTCATTATCTCCAGTGTTGTCGACTGTTAAGTTAGATGCCCAGTTTAAAAGTCAGCACACATTTTGTAAACTGAAGTAGCTCTTCTCCACAAATGTTTAGTTCACTAACATTGTCATAAGCATAATTCCATACGTTACAATAGTCAGTCACTGTTGCCCAATGATAACTGGTGCACAATTTAGCATTTTCAGGTACACAAAACCAATGGCCCAGATTTTGTCGCAAGGGAATCTTCAATTGACTTGAACATGAAGTTACACCATCTGCATGTGCTTGCCTATACGTAGAAATAAAGATAATCGCTGCCTCATTTGCCATGGTCCTCCAAAAATGTCACTTTACCAGAATTTTGGAAAGTGACGGCATTTAAATACATTAGGAGTGAAAAATTGGCTTTTTAAATACCCTGATAAACCACATACTGGAAAATATTGGGGTCTGTTCATTCAACTTTACATAAAACTTTTGTTGTCCTAGAATCAGTACAGAAGAGACACTCTGACCCATCAAGTCTGTACCGCCATAAATACACTGCTACCTACACTGCGTCCTAATGTTCCACACTAAACCCATGGCCTTGTAAGTGCTCATTCAAGTGCTTTTTAATGGTTGAGGTTTCCCACCTCAACTAATCTCCCATGCGCAGCATTCCACACACCTCACCTGCCCAATCACCCTCTGGGCTCAAAAACATCCCGACCCGAAACATCTACTTTCTGCTCCTCTGATGCTGCCTGGCCCGTTGTGTTCCTCCAGCTCCACACCGTTATCTATTTCCTCAAAGCCTCCTGCGTTTCACTTCAAAATTATGCCCTTTTTGTTCTTAACCCTTCAACCAAGGAGAACAGCTGGCTTCTATTAACACTGTTCATGCCCCTCACAAATGTTATACACCTCAAAATCAGGCTCCCCACTTAATCTTCTCTGCTGCAAAGGAAACAACTCTAGTTTTATTCAGTCTCTCCCCAGGCAACATCTTGGTGAATCTCTTCTGCATACTCTCCAGTGCAATCATGTCCTTTCTATGCTGTGGGGACAAGAACAGTACACAGTATTCCAGGTGTAAGTCTAACCAAAGTTCAGTATAGCTCCAAAATAACCACTCTGCTCTTATAATCTAATCTACAATACATATTTTAAAAACTCTAAGGCACGTTGCAAATCCATTTTTTAAAATCAGCACCAAGTCTCATTCCTTCATATTTTCATTTATCTCTAGCAATAATGTTGGAACAAAAAAAAAAAAAACCCTTCCTTCACCTCCTGTCTTAGCCCATACTTCATTTTGTCACTTGCTTGTTCTGTGCATGATTTTGCATTGGAGTTCAGTCCAACACACACTTCCCAGGTCAGATTTTTCATGCTTTGTATAAAAACTGTTGCAATCTGATTAGCTGAAGGCAGACATTTGCCCTGTTCACAAATCTCAAATTCCCAAAATAGAGGGTACTGCAGTACTGTTTATGGTCATACAGAAAGCAAAAAGTAAAAGTAACACACAACACTAACCATTAAACCTAGAGTCAGCAATATAGTTTATAGCGTGCATAAGTTTGCAGATGCACAAATTGACTTGATTTGGACCGAGGAATTTAAAAAAGGCAGCACAATTCTAATGCTGTGCACTGTGATCAAACTCATTATTCCAGACTCCTATTGTACATCCTCTCCCAACTAACCCTGCCTAACATAACCTAGCAATGAGTTAGAGTTGACTACCCTGCTTACGAGTTGGAATTGGGTACAGTACTATGCAATGGTGACAACAGAATTATGATAACAAATGGACTAACTGAAAGGAGGAGATTCACTCCTAACTAAGAAAATTGGCTCATTTAACACTTGCAGATCTAATCAGACAGACTCTTAAGAGTCAGCAAGAAAAAAAAGCCCAAAAGCCTACGTTTTGTAACTCAGAAATCCTTCAGTGGCCAAACACTCACTAGAATTTAGAAAAGACTATATGCAAAGAGAACTGAGAGTCTTGTATGTACTGCGCAAAAGAAAATTGTCAATGCAAGGATTTCTTCAAAAGTGCAATTCAACTCTCCCAGTATTTGCTGCTCTTAGATTGCTGAGCCGTAGAAGAAAACGTGATTTGGTGAGTAGTTTTACAAAAGCCTGATTGATTTCTGATAAGTTAGGTAACACTGCTTTACTCGGGTAAAAAGAGTAAACCAAAATCAAGATGCTTAAATGGAAGAGAGATTTTGAATACTGAAACCAATTAAAATAACACTGACTAAAGTTTGTACATGCTAGTTTAATATGGAACCAGGAAGACAGTGTTTAAATTTTTAAAAAAGTAGAAGTCTCAAAAGACATCAGCAATTTTTAAGAATCCATCAGCCAACAAATGTAAATCTATAGCCAGTAACTTTGTTTTGAACAGGGTGGCGAGCGTAGCTGGGTGAAAGGATCAAAGACAGTAAAAATTACGCCATACATAAATATTGAGTGAAAAATAAATAAAGTACAATAGCAAGTGTATCTGGTACAGGGTACAGAGAAAAACCATAATTAAACACACAAACTTGACAAAAATATGGGAAGCCACTCAAACGTGCCTAAGGACCGAGGTACAAATCACAAAATTTTCACCTACTCCACGTACCCAGGTAAATAACTGCATAGCCAATGCCCATCAAAAAAATTCATCCAAAGCATCAAGTAGAAGTTACAGTAAACATCATTTTCAGCTAAAACATGGAACACAAGACACAACAGCAAAATAATCACCGTAACCTAACAAGGGCCTCAGCCTCCTCAGGAAATACTGATTGCATCGAGAGGTGCCAAGGGTGACAGAAGCTTGCTATCAGGTTTCCGTGTGTTTAAGCATGTGTTTTTCTCACCATCCTGTACCATACTTGTTTCCGATATATATGTTTTATATTTATTTTAAATTTGATTTTTATGTATGGCTTTTTTTAAAGCCTTTGTGAGCTGCTGAATTTCACCAGGATTCTACCTGGAATGAAGCATTTCAACCATGAAGCGAGACTGGATAAGCTTGGGTTGTTTTCTTTGGAACAGAGAACATGGAGAAAAGGCCCTACAGAGGCATACAAGGTTGAGTGGCACGGACAGGGTGAATAGCCAGCTCAGAGATGAGAATTGCCGATGCTGGAGTCAGAGATAACAGTGTGGAACTGGAGGAACACAGCAGGCCAGGCAGCAGAAGAGCAGGAAAGCTGGTGTTTTGGGTCGGGACCCTTCTTCAGAAATGGGGGAGCGGGAAGGGAGCTTTGAGATAAATAGAGAGGAGGGGTGGTTTTAGCAGTCCAGATGCTTGATGGGTTGAAGGACAATGTTAAGCATACACAACATTGTTTCCCAGGCAGTTCAGTCTATGACCAACTCAACACTGCAAAACATTCCAAGTCCATTAGGCTGAATAGTATATGGCCATGACCATCCAAAAGGAAGCAGTGGGGTACCTACGTAAAAAGGACTTCTCTACCTCTCACAGTTGAAAGGCTAACCCCATAATGCAATGTGCACAACAAAGGAACAGACTGCAATGGTAAATTTCTACTGCCCAAAAGAAAGTTCTGTAGCAGCCACTTTTCTGATGCACATCCTACATGAGTGGAAGTGTGCAATCAGATGATCCGTCAGTTCTACTGTCCAACTTCAAGATAATTATTCAGATATGTACATGTATTCCTTGATCAACAATATACTAAGCAATGACTAACCAGAGAACTGCATCTTGCAAATTTGCTCAAGGAGAGCAAAAGAGGACAGGTGGGATGAAAGCAACTTTTTAAATGAATTTTGCAAAAGATGATCAAACATCTGTTTTGATTACCTTGTTTTGCACCCTGAACCTCTGTTAGCCGTTTCTCATGCTCTGTCGTTATGTTCCTGAGAAATTTCTGCATGTCCTCTTGTCTCCTTTCAACTTCTTCCTGCAACTGAGTCTGTGAACAAAAGCAGAAACTGCCAATTTAAGAAAAAAAACCTTCCTTCTGCAACGTACAAATTTGAAACATAAAGCAAACACATTGCATGACACAGGAAACAAGTTAGAGAAATGATAAATATCTATGTAACTATCAGCCAAAATTGTGAATGGTCAACTCATAACTCATTTGTCCTGCTCCTCAGCACAATATTCAACTTACTCCACAAAACAAGAGTTTAGGATAAGCTTGCACAAGCCTGTTTAAGCCATTGATTGATTTTAAACATTTTCCCAAACTTCCAAACAAAAAAAAAAGAGCAGAAACAAGGCAAGGCAAGTGAGAAAGTCATCAACATGGGAAATGACAAACTTTGACAGAAAGGGATAAAGTACATATCTAAGCATCAAAATCAACAAGTAAAGTCAAGTTTACAAAAAAAGCCAAGGACAAAACTAGAGACTCTGACTGCATGTAGCATGCAGCACAAAACAGCTGAACTGATAGTATAAACAGTAGTAGATTAAAAGTGTAGCTATTACAGAAACATGGCAGCAAGATAAGAAATTGGGACTTGACATACAAAAGATTCACAACATTTAGCAAGGAGAGGAAGTGAAGAATTAATGATGGTATTAACACAATATAGGTGATGAGGGCAGAGTGGTGAATGTGATCTATATGGACTTCAGAAAGTATTCAGTAAGGTTTCACATGGTAGCAAGGTTAGATCACATGGAATATAGGAAGAACTAGCCATTTGGCTACAGAACTGGCTTGAAGATAGAAGACAGAAGGTGATGATGGAGGATTGTTTTTGAGACTGGAGGCCTGTGACCATCGGTGTGCCACAAGGACAGGTGCTGGGTCTATGATTTTGTCATTTATATAAAATTATTTGGATGTGAACATGGGAGATATGGTTAGTAAGTTTGCAAATGACACCAAAAATTGGTGGTGTAGTGGACCAAGAAGGTTACCTCAGTACAACGAACCTTGATCAGATGGGCTAATGGGCCAAGCAATGGCAAATGGAGTTTAATTTAGATAAATGTGAGATGCTGCATTTTGCAAAAGGCAAACCAGGACAGGACCTATACATTTAATGGTAAAGTCCTGGGGAGTGTTGCTGAACAACGAGGCCTTGGAGTGCAGGTTCATAATTCGCCAAAAAAGGTGGAGTCACTGGTAGACAAGATAGCAAAGTCAGCATTTGGTATGCTTGCCTTTATTGGCCATTGCATTGAGTATAGCAGTTGGGAGGTCAGGTCATGGCTGTACAGGATATTGGTTAGGCCACTATTGGAATAGTGCACGCAATTCTGGTCTTCCCGATATAGGAAAGAAGTTGTGAAACTTGAAAGAGGTTCAGAAAAGATTTAAGGGATGTGCCAGGGAGAAGATGAATAGGCTATTTTCCACGGAGTGTTGGAGGCTGAGGAGTAACCTTAGAGGTTTATAAATTCATGAGGGACATGGATAGCATAAATAGCCTAGTCCCAAACTAGAAGGCATAGGTTTCAGATGAGGAAAGATTTCAAAGCGACCTAACAGGTAACTTTCTCACACAGAGGGTAGCGTGTATATGGAATGAGCTGCCAGAGGAAGTGGAGGAGGCTGGTACAACTACAACTACAACTACAACATTTAAAAAAGGCATCTGGATGTGTATATGCACAGGAAAGATTTGAGAGAGATATGGGCCAAATTCTGGCAAATGGGACCAGATTTATGTATGATATCTGGTTGACATGGACAAGTTGGGCTGAAGGGTCTGTTTCCACACTGGACAGCTCTATCACTACGACAATACAGTGTGATGCAGGTTCAAGAAACCAGGATGTGTGCAAATTGTTTGGGTAGAGATGAGAAAGGATTAAAGCAAGAACTAAATTTGTGGCTTTACATGCCCCCAACATGTACCATGTGGTGTTACAGTCCAAAAGGAAAACTAACGACAGCTTGTCAGAAAAATGCATTGGGGATTTTAATCTACATATAGACTGGAGAAAAAAAACAATAATAATCAGATGGGCAAAGGCAGCCTAGATGAGTAGTTCACAGAACATGTTACAGAACGGCTTGCAGAACAGCACACTCTGGTGGCAGCTGGAGAGACAACTAAACGTGGACCCCTCCGGGTCCAGAGTTCGTTTGCTTTACCAGTCAGGCCTCTTGCAGTGAAAAAACAGTTTAACGCAGACTTTGCTTGCTTCCTGCCATGCTCTTGCCTGCCTTGTGTAGTACTACGATTACCAACGCTGCCTTTACTATTTAAGTTGTTCTCATTAACTTCTATATTGTCCTCAACCTTTTCATCTGCCTACTGCTTTGGATCCCACCTCCCTGCCAGACTACTTTAAACCTTCCAGCAAATCTCCCTACCAGGATGTTGGACCTCTTCCAGTTCAGGTGTAACCCATCCGTCTTGTGCAGGTCATCTCTACACCAAAGATCCCAAAGATCCCAATGATCCAAGAATCAGAATCCCTGTCCCCTGCACTAGCTCTTAAGCCACGCATTAATTTGCCAAATGCTCCTATTCTCGGTAACACATAGCACCAGTAGTATCCCAGAAAATACTACCCTTGATGGGCAAAGATCAGGAAAATGGAGCACATTATGGGAGAATGTGAAACTGTACATTTTGGCAAGGATCATAAAAACATTATTTAAACAGTGACAGATCTCAGCTGTGGTGCAAAGGGACCTGGGTGTTTAGTACATGCATTTCAAAAGACTACAGATACAAGTAGTAACTCAGCTAACAAAATCTATGTTGTTTATTTATTGCAAGGGGAACTGAATACATATAAATAGAGAGGCTATGCTTCAGGACTTAGATGAGACCACATCTGGAGTACTGTATCCAGTACTGGCCTTTGTTTAAAAAAGGATATAATGCCTTGGAAGGAGTTCAAAAAGGTTGACAATAAACTGGAACAGGTGTATTAGTTTGGAGGAAGGGCTGAACAAACTAGGCTTGTATGCGCTGATGATTAGAAGAGTAATAAGCTTGGCTGAAACACAAGACTCTAAGGAGTCTTGATAGGATGGACACGGAAAGGATGATTCCTCTTGCAGGACAATCTAGAATTAGGGATCACTGTTTGAATACAAGGATTGCCCATTAGAGACATAAACTACAAAATTCTAAGGATTGGGTGCCTTAGAAACAGTGGATGCAGAGGTACAGATTATTGATCAACAAGGGGGTGAAACAGCATGTTAATATCTTTATCGCAAGAGGATTTGATTAAAAATGCAAAGAAGTCCTGCTTCATGTGTATAGAATATTGGCGAGTACATTCCCAAGTATTGCAGCAGTTCTAGCTCTCAAGGGAGGATATACTTGCCACAGAGTGTGCAGTGGAGGTTCACCAGACAGACTCATGTAATGGCAGGAGTGTCTTAAAGAAATTGAGGAGCCCCTGCCTATATTTCTCTGCAGTTGAGAAGAATAAGAGGTATTCACTTTGTTATATTTCTAAGACCCAGATACAAATAGAGTATATCTGTCAAGGATGTTTCGCTAGTTGTGTGATCTAGAATCGGGGGACAGTTTCAGAATAAAAGGCAAGTTGCTTCAGAACTGACATGAGGAACCTCTTCACTCAGAAGGGTGGTTATGCCTTGGAAATTTTTCCAGAGGGCTCTGGAAGCTCAGGTCATTAAGTTCAAGGCGGATTAATAAATTTATTGTTATCAATGACTTCAAGGAGATAGCACAGGAATACGACATTGAAGTTATTGTTCAGCCATGATTTAACATGTCATCAAAGACTAGAGGAGCTGAATAATCTGTTCCTGCTCCTGCATTCGTAGATTAATGGAGAGGTAGTTAGAAATACAAAAGAAAATCAGCCATGATCTTATTGGATGGTAGAACAGGATCAAGGGATCAAGTGGTCTGCACCTGCTTTTAGTTTATAAGTTCATAATCATTCATGAAAGCAACTCAAGCAAAGACTTCTGGAATATTACCTACAAAAATCAAAGGGCAGGTTAGGAAGAACAAAGAGGGATTAGTTTCAAGGAGGTATAAACTGGGTCTGTTTTCATTAGACAAAGAATCAAGAAGAAAATTGATGCCGATGAAAATTATAACTTTCCTTGAAAATAAAAAAAGGTAAAAACCATGTAAAGTATACTTGTTCAGCAACTCAGTTAGAAAAGGACATGAATTTCATGATTAAAAAAGTGTCAAGATACGCTTTAGTCAGTGACATTATGACATGGAATTTCTCAGTTTTAACAATTGAAGCAGAAATCACATTAATAAAAAAAGAAATGGATCAATGTTTGAAGAAAGCAAACTGCACATGGAATTCTGATAGGACAGGGTAAGTGAAGCTAAGTAAATGGCTCTTTCAAAGAAGCAGTAGAGACACAACAGGTTGAATGAGAACTTTGTAAAAATGCCTGGTGATAACGTTAAACCACTAAGTTTGATAACTTCAAGGTCAACACAAGTTAACATAATAAAAATCTCCCAAGGAGCTACATAGGAGCACCATAACAAAACAGGAACTATGGATATTAAACCATTGACCAGAAGCTCAGGCAAGGAGGCAGCTTTCAAAGAGAGGCTTGGAGGAAGAATAGCTACAGAGGCATGACTACTGAGTCAACAGAAGCTGCAGCCACCACTAGTGAAGTAATTAAAGAACCTGGGATGTTCACTGACCAGAAATTGACAATGTAAAGAGGAGATGAGACAGATAAGAAGTGGCAAGGCCACAAAAAAAAACAAAAAAAAAAAATTTATACACCAATGAGAATTTGTTTTTAAATTCAAGACACTGCTCAAATGGGAGACAAGTGAGTGAAGAGAGGTTCTTGGGGGAAAGAGCACTTGCAGTAAATTAAGTTGACCTCACATTATATCACCTCACATTTGTGTGTGCAGAGCGAGCTGGAAGAGAGAAGTCTAGGGATAATGAAAGCACAAATGACGGTTTCAGAAGCAGGTACGGGAACAATATTAAAGAGTTGGGAATAGGTCGCCTTGGTGATGGCACATGTACATTAACAGAAGCTTAGTTGTGATACAAAAAGCTACAAAGTCTATTTTAGTTTCACATGGTCAGAGAGAGTTAGCTGCTCAGAGTTTGGAGCAGGGATTGAAAACAAGTCCGGTCTTCACCAAATTTCATAAGAAGTTTCTGTCCATCCAGTACAAGATGTCAGATAAATAGTCTGATAATGAAAGTGGCAACACAGGTAGCCAAGGTGATTAAGAGGGCATGTGGCATGCTTGCCTTCATTGCCCAGGGGGTGGAGTACAAGAGTTGGCAAACCATGTTGCAGCTATATAAAACCCTTTTAGGCCACATTTGGAGTATTGTGTGCAGTTTTGGTCACTGCACTACCAGAAGGATGTGGAAGCTTGGGAGAGAGTACAGAGAAGGCTCACCAGGATTTTGCCTGGTCTCCAGGGCATTAGCTATGAGGAAAGGTTAAAAAGACTAGGATTGTTTTCACTGGAAAGACGGTTTTCACTGGCTGAGAGGAGACCTGATAGAGGTCTACATAATTGAGAGGGGCATAGATAGGGTGGATAGTCAGAGGCTTTTCCCCCCAGAGTTGAACTTTCAATTACAGAGGGGCACAGGTTCAAGATGAGAGGGGCAAAAATTGAAGGGTAGTTTTTTTTAACGCAGAGAGTGGTAGCAACCTGGAAGTAGGCACATTGAAGACATTTAAGAGGCACTTAGATGGGTACACGAATAGGGAGGGTAGAGAGGGATATGGATTGAAAAATGGCAGGTTTGTTTTTAAGATTAAATTAGGGCATGATGGTAGGCACAGACTTGGAAGGCCGAAGGGCCTGTTCCTGTCCTGTAATTTTTCATTTGCTCATAATTTATGAATGGTGAAAAGTTGAGAGGGGCATTTATGCGGAGGTAGAATCGGATGTTAAATTGGCATTCATTTGAAAACTACTGATGTGTTTTGGACAATGTCATGGAGGGTCAACATTCAGATGGGAAAGAGGAGGAGGGGGCCAAGAACAGACACTTAGAGGTAACGGTGCTGAAGCAGAACAAGAGGGCATCACAAATGCTATTATTAGTTAAGAATGGAATCAGGTGACAGGTGAACAATAAACAGGTGTTAATGGAAGGTATGATGGGCACTGAATCAGAGGCAGCATACGGGTTGAGGCAGACACGAAGTATAACCTATCACAGATCCATGGTTATCATTTGAGATTGTGATAGGAGCCATTTTGACTGTGGCAGGAGTAGAAGCCTGAATCAGAGTTTCCAGCATTGGGTTCAGGTAGAGAGGAGGTGCAACATGCTGAAGTAGTAAGAAGAATATTTTAGAAATGAGATGGTTGTTTGAAGGCACACCACAATAAAAAAAAGTGGGTCTCTGTGAAGCAAGGGTAATGACAGCAGATTTAATGAGAGGGGTCAACACCTGAAGAATGCTGGCTGCCATGGAGACCAGCAAGGCAAACTGGGCGTTCAGCATTTTGTTGACAGGAGCTGGTGGGTGGAGGTGGTCGGTCTCATTGACCAAATGAGCAGGACAGGGTTCAAGGAGAGTTAGCACACAGATTTATGTACATATAGCACAGGAGACAATTGAAAAACAAAAAGTGGTGTTAAGTCATTGTGACATGAAATCAGTTTTTTTCTTATGATTTGACGTTTAGCAAAGACACACACAAAACTCATTTATCAAATTTTATCATCCAGATTTTAACGGAGCATATTCAGGAAGTAAATAATAAAATATTCTCTCCCTCCACACATATTGCTGCCTAATGAACTATTTGTTTTCTCTTTTAAAAAAAAATTAACAAGTAACTCAAATAGACAAAATGATATCATTTGTTTCAAAACTAGCAGCTAAAATAATCAACACATAGTACTTTCCTGGTTCATTTTGTTCAAATGTATAGTGTTTAATATTAAAAAAAGGCATGTATAGAATAATTTCTTACAGCTGTTGTGGGCAGACAGGCAAAAAAGGTTCATTCCATAGATTTTTTTAAATTGTATCATTTTCAGTTCTTCATTTTAACTGAAACTCCCTCTAACAATCCACACATCCACTGATCTAATCCAAAACACTCAGTCAGCGAGATATACAGCACAGAGACCCTTTGGTCCAACTTGTCCATGTCAACCAGATAAGCTAGATAAATCTAGTCCCATTTGCCAGTATTTGGCTCATATCCCTCTAAACCCTTCCTATTCATAAACCTGTCCAGATGCCTTTAAAATGTTGTAATTGTACCAGCCTCCTCCACTTCCTCTGGCAGCTCATTCCATACACATACCACCCCCTGCGAGAAAAGTTGCCCCTTAGATCCTTCTTAAATCATTCCCTTCTCACCTTTAAAACTATGCGCTCTAGTTTTTTTTTCTGCCAGCCCAGGGAAAACATGCTGTCTATTTATAAAATCATGAAGGCATGAATAGAGTAAACCTCGAAGGTCACCTCAGCCTTCAATGCCCCAGGGGAAATAGCCCCAGCCTAATCAGCCTCTACCTATGGTTTAAACCCTCCAACCCTGGCAACATCCTTGTCTGAATCCTTCCTATACCAGGGAAACCAGAATTGCATGCATTATTCCAAAAGTGCCTAATCAATGTCTTGTAGCCACATGAGCTCCCAACTCCTATATTCAATACACTGTCCAATAAAGGCGAGCATACCAAACACCTTCTTCCATTGCCAATTCTTGCTTACGAAGCTTAGTGTTATACCTTGAGTTGTTGAACCGTCTGTTCATAAGAAACCTCCAAATTCTTTTTCTGTGCCTCCTCCTGTTGAAGACGATTTGTTTTTTCTGTAAATTCATTCATTAATCTGGCATAATCCTGACGCAATTTGTTCAGTTCTGTCGACTGCCTACATGGAAATTAACACACCAATTAATTGGTCAGTTGCTTTAAATAGTATATTATGAATTTTTTTTTAAAAAGAAGTACTTTTTCTCCCTTTAACACTTTAATCCAGGGAACAGAAATACATGCGAACATAATACATCCATATAATACATTATGTAAACAGTCTGAACAGCATTGTGAAATGCAAAGTCAGAATTTTCATAATGTTGTTCAATTCACAGGCAAAATACATTTTACAGAAGGCCTAAGTATAACATATTCCATCACTGTCAGCAATCTGGGAATAGTGATAGCTTCAGCAACCTTGCCTGAAAGGGAAACTAATTCCTTAAACTGTGGAAGCTTCCTTCACACCATCTCCATCTGGTTAACAGGTAACAGCAACATGTGTTGTCAAGGTGGGTTTGAGGTGAATGTGTACAGGGACACAAATTTCCTCTGGGAATAATTGACGAACATCTGAAGAATAGTTTCACACTGTTGCAGAACAAGAATGGGGGGTATAATATGATACGATACATAATGGGGGAGTCGTAGCAATCCAGGCCATTGTGGAAGGACCACTTAGATGTGGTATGCTCTTGCTTCACCAGAACAATTTTTTTTTTTGTTTTAAAAAAAAAACAAGTGTTCACTGGACAGGTGAACGGGTGATTGCCAATACTAAAAATGCTCACTCGTAAACCAAAGCTGTAGAAAAAGTGGTAATGGATTGGCAAAGACAAATAACACGGTCTGCTCACCACTGAGTATCATGGGGCATTTTGACTCAATGCAGCAAATTGTCTTTTAGACAAAGGACACCCTTGAGTGAGTAAGCATGCATTTAATTTTAAAGCTAAATATGATCAGACAGTACAATAAGAACATAGTTTGTTCAGTAAAATTGGCAAAAAAATTTAAACCCTACTACAATGATCTACAAATGTTTCATTTTGGATTTAAGACCCCTTTTTAAAACTGATTGAAAATTACAAACTTAAAATCAAAAAATTGTACTTTTGTGACATGCTTAGTAGTAAAATATAGTTCAGTGTTTTAATAATGCTGTTGAGCAAGTATTTACATACATACATACATCCGTCAGTGAGGCAGGTCTACTTATGTTTGTGGAAGTGAAAAAATATTACACATGTATTGCCTTGATTGCTACCACAGCAGAAAACATTTGACTGACTGTTGTGGAAGGTAGTAACTGTCATGGTCTTTTTGACCGATTTTGAATACTCTATCCAAGTAGTCACCAAAACTGGAAAGGGTTTGTTCTTGAATCTTGATTTCAAGAAGAAAATTACACATTTTTAAAGCCACACGTCAAATTTTGCAAGATTTATAATCACAATGGCTTTTGTGAATCACCAGATAATTTATTTTTTTAAAAATAGGTTTACAAACTAACCTCAGAAGAAAACAGGAAACTGTTGTGACAGGTACTTTTGGTTTCTGCTGAGACAGATATTTGCCTAAGTTAAACCAGCTTTTGAGAGAATTCCATGACGAAGAGCACCTTACAACCAAGGACTTCAGAACAGTCAGCTGAGAACTAACAGCAATATTCTGGGAAGAAAACAAATGGTATCTCTCCTTTAACCTGCTTCACCTTAAAAATGCACCCTCAGGAAGACCAACAGGAGCCACCGCAGCTGAAAAAAGTTTGCTTTATCAAGGCATTCATTCCAGTCAAACATCAGGAGACATTAGGCCTACACCAAATCAGAGACAGTAAACCTACAACTATTAAATTATATTTGTCAGCTGTATCCACTTCGTTCATCACTGAGCTCCATAAAAATCAAATTCTATACAACTGAGAGTTGCAGTTCTTTGCTAGTTTACCCTCTACTCAAAGTGCACATGGTTTTATCTGAAATACTTCAATTATATTATGAGGTTTTTCATCTCCATGCTGTTGAATATCATAACACGATGTTACCAAAAAACTGCAAAGTTCTGACCAATAGCAAGATGACAAGTAGCAGCTAGCTTTCCTTCATAGTGAGGTCCCCAGAGGACAGTAACAAGTTAAACTCACACAAGCTGCCAAGCTAATCCAAAGATCCTGGTCGGCCAAAAATTAGTGTTCTCAAAGAAAGTAGACGTTTTATCAATGACTGCAGTCATGGTTTTTTTTGTCATGGACATGACATAAGCAAAAATGTGCAATGTTCAAAATGGTTGCATGCACCCATCAAAGACATTGTGGTGACAGGAAAAAGAAAAAAAAAACAACTCACTTTCTGCAGAGAGTTCATACATATTGAAATATTCCCAAGTTAAATGTGGTGACAGTTAAGACTGAAGATACACACTTATGCAAGTGATGGGCAGTTTCTGCCAGCATAGTTTAAACCACTTGTTAAATATACTGTGACTGTGTTGACTTTATGCATTTCTTGGAGCCGCTTTGCAGAACCTGGTCTAAAAAAGAAATACTGCTCCTTCAACTATCCAAAAGAATTAAAAAGTCAACTTCAGTCTTCTTACTTTCCATTCCCTACCTACATAGGAGTCCATTTTCCTCCATGCAAGCAACTAGTTAAATAGATTATCCTTGTGAAACCACTAGTCAAAGCAGGGAGTCAACTGCTGACTCCAGTCAGTTGTTAATCATTTTGTTCAGTGCATTATCAATAATAAAAATCAGTCAAAATTACTAATTTGCACTTAATAGTTTAGCTCTTGGGTTCAGGACAACTCACTTGCTCTCCATTTGGCTGGGAGCCTTGCTCACAGCATCTCTCAGGATCCTGTTCTCTTGTTTCAATGCTTCTGTTTGATCTTGCAGCTGGCGAAACTGAAGGAAGGAAATTTTTTCATTAATTGAATTAGAGTTTATGCTCCGTTCGTTTTTACAGTCATCTGCAGTTAGATCAGCCAAATTAGTAACAATATAATTAGATTTTTGAAACAGCCTTCTACCTCGTACTAAATTTCACTTTGGCTCAAGCAGAATCCTTCTGCTTTGTATTCAGATCTAATTAAAAAGTTTTGGTCCAAAACAAGACCAAAAAAGAAATATTGGCTGAACTCCAGAGATGAGGCAAGTGACTATCCTTGACATCAAGGCAGCATCTGATCAAGTGTACTATCAAGATGCTCAAAGGCAAGTGAGATCATGGGAATTGGGGGAAACTCCCTGTTCATTAAATTCAACACCAAACACAAAAGGAAGACTGCTATGATTACTGGAGGCTAGTCATTGATTGACAGCATCACTGTAGGAATTCCTCAGGGTAGTAAACAAGGACCAACCATCTTCAGCTGCTTCAATGACCTGCCTTCCTTCAGGTGGCAAGAGGAGAGGGCTGCCCACTCGTTAAGAAGGATTCATCTCATTCACAACTCTGCAGATACTGAAATAGTCCATTTCCATATGCAGCAAGGCCTAGATGACAATTCAGACCTGCACTAAGAAGTGGCAAGTCATAGTCACCACAAGTTATTGCCAATGAGAGAATCTAGCCATTTTCTCTGGAATACAAGTCTACTTTCATTGCTGAATCCCCCATCAATATCCCAAGAGGTTACCACTGACCAGAAACTTAAGTGGATCAGCTAGAAGGGCAGATCAGATTTTGGAAATATTGCAAAAAAACTAAGTCACTCCTGACTTTCCAACACATGTTCACTATCTGTAAGGCACATGGCAGGAGTATGATGTAATACATTATTCCATTGGCCTGGATGAGTGCAGCTCCAAAAAAAAAAACCCAAGAAGCTTGACAGTATTTAAGACCAAGCACCCTGCTTGATTGGCACCTCATTTTTCAGTTTCACGATTTACTTTATCCATCACTAGCACATGGTGTGACACCTAAAAGATGTACTCTTAAGAATCTGTCAAGGCACCATTGACAGTGCCTTCCAAACCAGTAACTTTTACCACCTAGAAAAATAGAAGTATCAGACACATGGGAACATTACCACCTTGAAGATTCCCTCTATTAGCACATTATCTGGACTTGCATCTGTAATTGTTTTTTCCTTCACTGTTGCCAAGTCAAATTTCTCAAGCGCTCTTCCCAATAGCACTCCTGCACCTGCATTACATGGATTGCTGTACTTTAAGGCAAGTCATCACCACCTTGGACAGTAATTAGGAACAAGCAACAACGCTGACTTTGCCAGTGATTCATACATTTTTAAAAAAGTGCACTCTCAAATAAGAGAAGAATTGATCTGCAGAAAGACTGCCCCAGCCATTAAAACTAGTTTTCCATATTAAAAAACTGACAGATCACAGAAACATTCTTGTCACTTTCAAAACATGCATCTTAAGATATCTATTGCCTTAGGATATTAAAGCTTTTGTTAAAAAGGCAGCTTTAGTGTTAAAGATGTTCAGCATACAGTTATGATAATTACAATCAATAATTTAAAATTACATTTCAAGCTGCAATTGACAAGTAATTTTATGCCCCACTAATTGGTACTAAATATTAAGAGGAGGCACAAGCATTCAGATAAAATTTCAGACCACCTGATTAAACTGTTGAAGTTGTAACCTTCATAAAAAGGGACAGATAAAACAAGCATTTACAATACCAGACGAAAAATTACTTGAGGGGCTGCACAATGCAAGGGGTTAATACTCTTCCTTCATCAGAGAAGGAAATCTTAAACCAAACCAGAATGAAAAATCTGTACATCTTGCATACACATTTCAAGCAACTGACATTGCTGCAGATGGGTAGAAGTGAAGCCAGCAAGAAAAAAAAGCATCAATTCGCAAAGTTTACTGCCAAGATCTAAATCCTTTTTTTTTTTTTTTTTTTAAAAAAGTTAACTATAAAATTAAAGGCAAACTCTTTTTGGCAATTCTGCTTGTAACGATTAAACAAAAAACTATTTCAGTGACTGAAGTATTTAATCAAAGTTTCCAAGTTACCACTTATGACACACGAACTACATATCTACAAATGCTAAGAGTCATTTTATTAGCAGAAGTGTTAAACTATTTAATTTTGAACCCTCAGATTAAGTATCAGTTAGCAAAGGAGCAAAGAGTTCTACTTTTATAAGTAATGCATTAAAACATACACAGCTCATTGCTGAACCATGACAGATTTTTGATTCCCTTTGGCATAATATAATAATACTCTAGCAGAGCATAGTTCTCAGCTGAAGAGGACAATTGTCACATTGAATATATTTCCCATGACTAAATTTGAGCAACTGTTTATGCAGCCTTGGAAATTAACATTACTTTCACACTTCCAAGCTAAAAGTAGAAGTGGAATTTCAAAAAAAATGTAAGCGAATCTCACAAAAACCAAAAAAAACTTTAGATGCACAACCATAAAAGGATTAGTGTCTTCATGTTTCCCCAGCTATCTCACAGAAAGGAGATCAATTTAATTTGCAAATAAACTAAAATCCAAAAGTTAACAATGATGGTAAATTGTGCACTTTTTAAGTCAGGAAACCACTATCTTCATAAAATGTCAATTTAATTGTGGAAAGAAAAAATTTTATCAATTTTACTAACGGCTTGTTAACTTGGTTTGGGATTGCTTGCTTTTGCTGCCTCCCACAAAAAACAAAAAACAAAATATACAATCTACGATCTGTAAACAACCCTGTAGTGATAGCAAGTTAACTCTTTAAATGATACTGTATAATGGAAATGGAATTCATTTTGCAAGTTTAATCTGTTACAGAATATAATTAGAAAGATGATTCCTTTGACATACCTGCATCTGAGTTTCATTCATATGATCCTGGTAGCTAACTTGCAGCTTGTTCTGCAATGCTCCTAGTTCTTTTTCAAGGGCAGTGCGCTGTTCCCTCAGTTTGGTCTCAACAACATTGGCTTTCTGTTTCTCAGTCACTAATTCCTAATAAAATTTAAGCAATTATGACAGATATTAAAGGTGTACTTAAGTCAAAAACTGGGGTCAATAAATCCTCATTTTCTTAGGCAAGTGATCAAAAAGAAAAATCAAGTACTGCTAGAAGACAGTCGTTGAGTACAAATTTTACCTGCCACTCGCAGAAGTCCCTCCTAGAACTATTCCATAGGTCCAAATGCATAAAGCACACAAATCTTTTGAAGTGCTGCCAAGATAGATGCTTTAACACTAATAGCCATTAAACCATATGAAAAGAGGAAAAGCTAGACATCCAGAGTTACAGAAGGAAGATGGATCAATGGAACATACAAATTTACCTCTGATCTACTAAATTCTCAGTCAAGTCATTGAGAAGCAATGCTGTTGAGATTCTTTTTAAAATCCCAAAGTGGCCTAAGGTTGTGCCTCCCAGAAACATTAAAATACTGCAAAAGGAGGCAGCCACATGTCCCTCTCCCACTGATTACGCTCAAACCACCTATATTGTTTGCTCAGCCAAGTCCCTGGTGTGTAATTAATGGCAACTTTGATATTGAAAATAGCTAACAAGCGTATCCAACAGTTTATTATCTTAGAGAGGATGTAATGAATAATTTGATCATGTTCCATCCAGCAGCTCTTTATTGCTTAGTTTACAATTTAATAGTGTATAGGTGAGCAGCACTAACTGGGAATTCACCTAAACTCAATGACAGATTCAAACTGTGGTTGTTGAGTTTAGAACAGTATGCTCAAATATGCATTTAAAGTTGTACGTTGTGAACATTTAGAAATTAGCTTCCTAGAATATGGTTAACATACATTCTAAGTAGTTTGTATTTACAATGTGATTCTTGAAAACATTGACTTAGTTCCAATTAGTACATTCAAGCAGGAATCAAGAATTCAGAAATGCTGCATACAGAATAAAAATCCTTAAAATCAGACCATTTCAATGAACTCTATAATACTGGCCAGAACTGACGAAGTATATTACCTGACTCAACTGTTTGCATTTATCGTTTGAAAGATTAACCTCATCTTGTAAAGCTTGAAGCAACTTCTCTTTATCCTGTAACTGCTGTTGTAGTCCATGAACTGAATCACATTTTACACCAGGCTGAAAGGTATCAAAAACACTTCAATCCTCTTTACAGGAATGCAACATCTCCCACACCATAATACACAAAACAGACTATGATTTGGCAGTGAAACTAGAGCTGGATAAGTCAAATAAACTGAAAGTGAATTGACCAAAACAAACCAAGGATAATCACAGTTATAAACAATCTGGAAATTCTGAAATGAACAAAACGCTGGACAAACTCAGCAGGTCTATCACCCCTAGGAAATAAAAGCAGAGTCCAGTGCAATTTCTTCAGAGCAAGAAATACTACCTGATCTCAGTATCAGGGGAGCTAAGTTAGTGCTTCAAATAACTGCTGCAGCCTTGCATCAGACCAAAATCTATCACCAAAGTTGTTAGCTTGGTTTCTCATTCCAGAAATGGTAGAGCACTTATTTGATTTGATTTGGCATTTTGACCATCCATAGTACATTGCTTTTAAAAGTTGTTGTGAAAAGCACCACTAAAGCAAAAGGAAATGAATTCCAAGAATGCCAGAAAAAAAAAGTGGTAAACTTCAGAATTCCAAGCAAATTAGAAACCAAAAGGATAACCAAGAAACTGATCAGGCAAAGAAAAATATGAATGCAAGCAAGCTAGAAACAGGAGTATGTAAAAGCTTAAGTATGTGAAAAGCAAAAAAAAGACAAGCTAGGGCAATTGTGTATACATTACAGATGCAGATCAGAGAATTTATAGTGGAGAACAAGGAAGTGGCAGAGAACTCAAACTTGTAATTTGTGCCTGGCTTCAGAAGGAAAATACAGAAAATTTCCCAGAAATACCAGGCAACCAAGGAACCTGTGAAACCAAAAGAAATTAGCAACAGTAAAACAAAAAAGTATACTTGAAAGGCTGATAAATCCCCTAGACCAGAAGAGCTACATCCGAACATGTCAAAAAGAGGAGGGCTCTTATATAGCTAGTGGATGCCTTGATGGCTTTCAAAATTCAATAGCTCCTGGAAAGATCCCTGCAGACTATAAAGTCACAAGTGTAATCAATCCCACCATTTACAAAAGGGAGAGGGAGAATGGAGAACTACATTCTTGTTATTTTGATGTTAGTAGTAGGGATCACGTTAGAACTTACAAATTACGAGATATCTGGACATTTAGAAAACAACACTGTTGGACAGCATCAACATTGACTTAAAGGGAAATTAGGTTTGACAAACATATGTTTTTCAGGATGTTATTTGCAGTATAGGTAAAGGAGACAGGGTGGATATAGGCAAGATATTTCCCCTGGCTGGTATGGACATGACCTCAGGATTAATGATGGGCCATTTAAGACTGAGATTAGGGGAATTTCTTCACTTAGACAGTGGTGAATTGCTGGAAAACAGAAATTGCTAAGTGCCCAGAGACTAATGACCTAATGTGAAGATGGCATAGGAAAGTGGCATCATGGTAGATGACCTAATTAATTGGCACAACAGGCTGAATGGCATGCTCCTGTTCCCATGCCATCTTGCTTGGCCTATTTGGCTTTTCCAACATTATCACATCTAATGTTTAAGTACAAGCAATTCAGGCTTTTCTGATGTGTAAAAGTGCTTGTGTTGATATTTCCATTTCAAGAATTAGTTTCAACAGAAACTGAATCACAACTAAAATATTAAAAATTCTTCCTCTAAACAATCTAATTGAAAATTTAGTTTTACTTTTACTATAATTACCTTTAAAGCAACCAAGTCCTTTTTAGAGACTTTATGTACAATCAAAATAGTAGAATACGTCTCTCGTGGTTAAGCTGCAGTTGAAGTCAAACTTAATACTCATGTTCAACATTGATCACAACATTAATACACTGCAGAAAGAATGTTGCGAAGCAACAAGACTAATACTAAGTCTAAATAGATTTTTTGAAAGAGGAAATATTAGATAGATAGATTTAGGAATCAAGAAAACAGATTAATTTTAAACTTTTACACTCATCTTGTAGTAATGAAACTGAAACAGATAAAGATGATATTTTTAGGCATAAACATACAGGCATATTATTGCAGAGATAGTAGGAACTGCAGATGCTGGAGAATCCGAGACAACAAGGTGCAGAGCTAGATGAACACGGCAGGCCAAGAAGCATCATAGGAGCAGAAAGGCTGACGTTTCGGGCCTAGACCCTTCCCGAAACGTCAGCCTTTCTGCTCGGCCTGCTGTGTTCATCCAGCTCTGCACCTTCTTGTCTAGGAAACAGAAGTCATCTATTTAGCCCTTTAAAAGCTATTGTATTGTTGAAACATGGCTAACTGTCTATTTCAGTTCCACCTTACTGTGTTATTCTCCCAATATAGTCAAAATATCTAAAAAACTGGAAATCAAACAAATAGAAATTGCTGGAAAAGTTCAGCAGCATCTATTAGAGAAATCAGAGTTAATGTTTTGGGTCCAGTGACTCTTCCTCAGTCAAAAATCTGCTGACAAGTCTTGGCAAATTGGTCAACTGAACAGTCTTTCCTAGGGAAGGAAACTCAATTCCTTTCCATCATAAGCTAACGTCATAAACCAAATCCTGAATTTGTTTTAAGCATCTAATATGTTAAATTCCTTAAAAAAAAAGTAATGTAACCTTATGCTGCATTTCCAAAGGACAGCGGGGAGGAATCAGGATTCCACTTCAAACAGGACAAGGAAGATGGCCTAAAAAGGCAGACACTAATATCACAAGAATGTACAAAACTGTACATTCCAGAATGGCCTGAATTACAGTAAGTCTGTAGGACAACAGACTTGAAGCATTCAAATTTTACATTACAACATGCATGACAAAACTATGATATACAATGGCAATGTTGGCGAAGTATTCAGAAAACACAGGTACCTTCGTGGTTCAGAGAGAGATGGAAGAAAAAAGACATCTCGCTCTGTGTGGGCATATCCAAAAGTACTAACCACGTACAGGGGATCTTCAATTTAAGATAATTGTCAGGAGTTGTTGGATGGATGACAAGATTGTCTAAATAGCCTCTAGTCTGTATTCATTTTAATTGATTAAGCAAGAGAATATTCCACTTACTTTCTGCCACATTTCTTGAAGCACACCAGCTTTCTCTTTCAGAATGTCAGCAACACAAATAGCCTCCTCCTCTGTGAATGCCATAGTTTTCAAAGATGACAGAAAATCCTTAAACTTTATATCTGCATTTTCTGTAAAGTAATATAAATCAGCATCACAATTAAATAATAATTTAATTTAGTGTGCCTCTTTAGACACTAGTTAATCATTTGAAGGATTCCATTCAACATGAAGCACTCACATTGAACAGGATAATTGAAAATTCTGTCACTGCTACAAACTCGAGTTCGTATATATTTCAAAATCAGCGTTTTCATGGTGTAGTGCATTATACATCGATAACTAGTCAGTCCAAGAAACGTCAACACTTTTACTGGAAAGATGACTATTTTGTTCACTGGGATTTAGAATTGAAAAGCAAGGAGAGGCACAGGCCAGATGAGAAATACTGCTCCATGACCTCAACTGTATCCTGTGTGTAAAACCAATTCATTAACCAAATAATTCCAGGGGCTTCCTGTACCACCTGCCTGGTTCTCTTGACGGTTACCCATTTCTTATCTACAGATAGGGGTGGGGAGGGAAATCTCTGATGGTGGGGGTCAGATGGTAGATGGCAGAAGTGGCAGAGAATGATACACTGGATATGGAGGTTGGTGGGGTGGTATGTGAGGACGAGAGGGATTCTGCTTTTCATAGGGACTGCTCTCTGCAAGACTCCCTTGTCTACTCCACACTCCGCACCTTTGCCTACAACCGCACGAAGTGCTCCTACCCACTCTTCACCTCCATCCAAGGCCCTTAGCGAACTTTTCATATCTGAAAAGGGTTCACCCGTACATCCTCCAACGTGGTCTACCATTTCCATTGCTCCTGATATGGCCTCAACAATCGGTGAGATCAAGCACAGACTTGGGGGCCGGTTTGTAGAGCATCTGCGCTCTGTACATAACAAACACCACCTTCCAATCGCCAACCATTTTAACTCCCCCTCCTACTCAGATGATAACATATCCATCCTGGGCCTCCTCCAATGCCACAATGACACCACACAAAACTGGAGGAGCAGCACCTCATATTCTGCCTCAGAAGCCTACAGCCTGATGGCCTGAACATAGAATTCACCAATTTTAAAATCTTCCCACCCCCAGCCTCATCCGGAGACCAAACCTCCCTCTCATCCAGTCTCCTTGACCAGACACAACTTGTCCATCTTCTTCCTCCCCTGTCCTACCCTTCCCATCAACCAATCCCCACTACCCTCTACCTGCACCCAACCTATCACCACCCCACCTACCTTTCCCCAACACCCACCCTCCTCCCTTTATTTCCCAGCTCCCTTCCCATCCCCATTTCTGAAGGGTCTGACCCGAAACATCAACTTTCCTGCTCCTCTGATACTGCCCGACCTATGTTCCTCTAGCTCCACACGGCTTTATCTCTTCAATAAAATCAAGTCTACTGGAGATGATCAACACTTTTTAAGCAAACTCAAAAGGACGCAGAAACTCATGAAAAGCAAGCTTTCATTAGCTCCCTGCTCCTCTCTTTGGCCCTTCGGTCTGTTTCCCTGACAACTTGGCCTTTCAAAGATAGCAGGTCAAAGTCATAAAAATCTAACCTGTTGGGATATTAGAATTTACACAAACTCATGATCACTTGATCATTGTTCTACTTCTCTAACTGACAGTCGAAGTACTAAAAACAACATTTAGCAAGTCATGGCAAAAACATTACTCAGCTTATAATCAGTTTCTCCATAAGTAACATGACAGAAAGCTTGGGGATAAAAGCCACAACGCATCTGACAAGCTACAGCAGCAGTCAATACTCAGTATCCAGTTTAAAAACATTTTCCCCCCCGAAAAGAACAAAAAAGTCAGACGTGACACCCTGAACCTGCTTCATCATTGCAAACTTGCAATCCTAATAATCCATCACATACTTAAAAGTAGATGTATGAGTCACATTGTCCTTTCCAAAAGGATTTCAAAGCCTTCAATCAATTAGAAACCCATACTAAGTTATCAATATTTATTTGCCCCATCTGGGGACTAGTGCCATAGTAGTAAGGTCCACATCTCTGGACCAGAAGTTCCAAGGTTCAAGTGCCACCTGCCATAGAAATGTGTCATGATATGTTTGAACAGGTTGATTATGTACTTTTGACTTGCACTACCATTACAATCTATTTTTGTCATTTGACAATAATTCATGTCAAACGATGTCATATGTAAACTAGAAAATCAGATTGGAGTTCTAATGAAAGCCACTGGATGTCAGTAGAGAGTCATTAGCTCAGACCACCAACATTACTACAAGGTCATTCATCTTTGGGGCCCTGGCACAAAAGAACATCAGGATTTTCCCTGCATAATATTGCCCATGATGATCCATCATAACTTTTCAGAAGGAAATGCAACAGAACAGTTGAAATTACAACAATTTAGATATCATATCCTACTATACTATTTCAAATGAATAGCTTGATTTTTCATAATGATTGCCAACTGATAAGCCACTTTCAATAATAAACTATAAAATTTTGTTGTTCCTGAGCATGAATCCCAGATGGAAATATAAAATTTATGCATCAATACATCTATGTTTATAATCTACAAGCATATAGAAAACTATTCAACGAATTCCAAAGTTCATTAAAAGAACATGATACATTAAGTCCTGAAATATGTTGATTACCCTTCTCCAAAAAGGAAAATTAATTTACAGATTAAAGTCACATTTTGGATATTTTCAAAAAAGGAAAATATATCAGTAAAAATTGAAAGAACTCGATGTTCAAAGTCAATAACAAACAGAAATTGCTGGAAAGTTCAGCAGGTCTGGCAGCACGTCTGGAGGCAAATCATAGTTAAAGTTTCAGGTCCAGCGACCCTTCCTCAAAATGCCTAGTAGCAAGGAAAATGTTAGTTGTTTTACACAGAACAGGGATCCAGATTAGAATCCCACCACGGAAGACAGCGAAATTTGGAATTAACAAAGAAGGAAATTTAAGAATCTACTGAAGACCATGAAACAAACTGGAAAAACCCATCTAGCTCAAATGTCCTTCAAGGAAGGGAATTTGCTATCCTCATTGAGTCTGGCCTACATGTGAATCCAGAGCCGTAACAATGTTGTTGACTCAACTGTGCTCTGAAATGGCTTAGTAAGCCACTCTGTTGCAATCACGATAAAGTCTCAGAGAACTGAAACTGGACAGACCACGCAGTATTGACATAGGCACCAGAAAAGACAAAATGGCAGAAACAAACAAACAGTCTTGTCAGCTCTACAAAGTCCTCATCAACTCCTGGGGGCTAGTGCCAAAATTGGGAGAGCTATCTCACAAACTAGTCAAGCAGCAGCCTGACAGACAGACATACTCACAGAATCATAAAGGCAACATCTCAGAATACATCCTCGAATACATCCTGTCCCACCATAAGGGCAGACTCAGAGAAAGCAGTACAGCAGTATACAGTTGGGATGGAGTCAGCCTGCAAGTCCTTAACATTAACTGCAGATCCCATTCAGTGTCATGGTTTCAGGTTAAGCTTCCTGCTGATTACCATCTATCATCTTCTCTCAGTTGATGAATCAGAACTCCACGTTAAGCAACACTCAGGAAGCACCGAGGATGACAAGAACGCAAAACATACTCTGCGTGGGGGATTTCAATTTCCCAGAGTGACTCAGCAGCAGCCTACTGATCAAGCTGGTCAGTTCCTAAAGAACATGGCTGCTACATTGTTCCCTCACCACCTGCAGCAGACTCAACATATTTGACCCCATCCTTACCAATCATGGCAGTATCAGTACGAGTGACCACCACAGGCCTTGAGAAGATGTCCTGTCTTCACAAACTGGGGGGTATTCTCAATATGTGGCACTACTAAATGCTAACTTCAACAGTTCCAGCAACTCAAGACTGGACCATCTGAAGCAAATGTAGGCCAACAGCAGAATTGTCTGTAACCTCATGGCCCTGACATGACCACTACCATCAAGCCAGGGGACCAACTGTGTTTAAATGGACAGCACACGAGGGCGTGCCAGGGGCAGTATCAGACATATCCGAAAATGGAGGGGCAGCATGGTGGCTCAGTGGTTCGCACTTACCTCACAGTAACAGGGACCTGGGCTTGATTCCACACTTGGGCAACTGTGAGTGGAGTTTGCCCATTCCCTGCATGGATTTCTACACGGTGCTTCAGTTTCCTCCCACATTGCGAAGACGTGCAGTCTAGGTAGATTGGCCATGCTAAATTCCCCAGTGTTCAGGGATGTCTAGATTAGGTGGGGTACAGGGGGAAAAGAGTCTAGGTGGGATGATCAGAGGGTCAATGTGGGCTTGTTGGGCCAAAAGGGCCTGTTTCCCCACCCTAGGGATCCTAGGATTCTATGAACTTGATCAAGCTACCAAACAGGATTACTACTTACATGCCAAAACAGCACAAGTAGTTCAGTGATAGACAAAGCTAAGCAATCCCACAACCAGATCTAATGAGTTCTGCAGTCCTGCCACATCCATTTGTGAATAGTAGTGGACAACTGAACAACTCAGAGTTGGTAGGGGCGTGGAATGCATTGCCAGAGAGGGTAGTGGAGTCGGCCTCATTAGGGGCATTTAAGCGGCTATTAGATAGGGATATGGATGATAGTATAAAAGGTAGCGGTGGAAGTTAGATAGACCTTAGGTTTAGGGTAAAAGTTCGGCACAACATCGTGGGCCGAAGGGCCTTTACTGTTCTATGTTCTATGTTCTAACTCACTAGAGGCGGCTCCGCAAATAATCCCAATTCTCCACGACGGAGGAGCCCAACACCAATTCAAAAGATAAGGCTGAAGCCTTTATAGCAATCCTCAGCCAGAAGTGCCTAGTAGATGATGCATCTTGACCTCTTCCAGTGGTCCTCAGCATCACATCAACCTTCAGCCAATTTGTTTCACTGCAATATCAAGCAACGGTTGGAGGCACTGGATAGTGCCAAGGCTACAACACAATTTCAGTAAAGTACTGAAGACTTGTGCTCCAGAACTTGGCACTCCCATACCCAAGCTGTTTTAGTATAGTTAGAACACTGGCAATGTCAAAAACTTGCCCAGCTATGTTCTGCACGTAAAAATAAAGAGGACAAATCCAACTCGGCCAATTACCACCCCAGTCTACTCTCCATCATTAGTGGTGATGGAAGGTGTCAACAATTCTATCAAGCAGCACTTGCTCAGTTTGGGGTCTGCCAAGCCACTCAGCGCCTGACCACATTACAGCCTTAGCTCAAATTCAGATAAACAAAAAAAAAAAAAAAATTGAATTCCAGAGTGAGGAGACAGCAACAGCCCTCAACATCAAGGCTGCATTCAACCAAGCATCGAGGGGCCCTGGCAAAACTAGAAGCAGAGTATCAGGCAGCAAACTCTATGCTGGTTGGCGTCATAACTGATGCACAAGATGGTTGTGGTTATTTGAGGTCAGTTAGTCAATCAATCATCGAAGCTCCAGAAGATCCCCAAATGTCTTGTCCTAGGCCTGTCAGACTTCAGCTGCTTTATCAATGATGGTCCCTACATTCTAAAAGGTCAGAAATGGGGACGTTCACCAACGACTGCACAATGTTCAGCACCATTCCCAACTCCTCAGATCCTGAAGCAGTCCATGTTCTAATACAACAAGATCTGGGAGGATATCCAGGCTTGGCCTGAGTAGTGGCAAGTAACATTTGTGCCACAAAACATGTCAGGCAATGACCATTTACAATGAGACAATACCCCTTGACATGTTAGGGAATGATGAGGTCGAGGCTGATGAGAGAGAGATCCAGGGATGGTAACACCAACATTCTTGGCCAGAAACTCCAGTGGACTCACCACAAACAAACAGTGGCTGCAACATCCACAAGCATCCATTCCCTCCACTAATCAACACAACAGTACACGCTGCTGCTATCTACAAGATGCACTGCAGAAATTCACCCGAGGTCCTTAGACCTTCCAAGCCTGTGATCACTCCCATCTAGAAGGAAAGGGCAGCAGATGCATGGGAACACCATCATCTGCAAGTTCCCTTCCAAGCCATTCACCATCCTGACTTGGAAATATATCACCATTCCTTCACTGTCACTGGGACAAAATCCTCGAATTCCCTCTTTAAGGGCATCGTGGATCAACCTTCAGCATGTAAACTGCTGCAGTTCAAGAAGGCAGCTCACCACCACCACCTTCTCAAGGACAACTAGGAACAGGTAGTAAAATACTGGCCAGCCAGTTATGTCCATGGCCCTCGAGTTTACAAACAAAAAGTAGGACAGAACTTCTGTTACAGAGACATCATACATAAACAAAAAGTAAACTAGAACAGTGTTATCCAGCACATGATTTCTGGTTTGTTTATATTAATTCAAATTACAATGTGATTGAGGTTTAAATAAAACGTCAAATCCTTCATTACATTCAGATGATTGCAGATCAGCAGCACACAATTACAATTTGTGCTCAGAAAAAGAAATGGTCTCTTAAGGCCAGCATGGTCCAACATTTAATTGTCTAAATTTCTTATTTATTGCAAACATGCTGTGCCACCTTTAATGTAAAAAGATGAGTGGCTATAATCAAAAATATTCCATATTGAACAATACAAAATTATTAGTTGGTCAACAGATAAGCATGAACAACAGAATACCTTTATCACATTCATTCCTCTGTTTCTTGGCAATAGGTTTCTGCACACCACTACCGATCACTTGGTTCTTGTCATCAACCACAGCATCCCTCTTTTCAGCATGAGCACCACCCTCAGCATTATCCAAGGCAACGCAGACTGTGGACTTCAATGGGAGATTCTCCACCGAAGCTGAAACTACAAACAGAAAACTTTAATTTAAAAAAAAAAGCATGATATATTGTTTTTGCATGACGAGATACTCAATACAGAAACACTGACCTGGTTCTATCTTTTGCTTTTTAGGTGCAGTTTTTCTTTTCGACAGGCCACTTTCATGTTTAGTTTCCATTGATGTAAGCACTGGTTCCTGCTTTTTGATAACCATTTGAACTGATTCAGCATGTTCTTTGACAAGTGCACTGCGAACATCTTGAGCTGGTTCATCTGCAAAATTCCCATTGAAAAGCAACATTTGAAATGTGAAGCAGGATCGTGAACAGTTCTTTGTCTTTTCATCAGAAAGTTAATTATCTGCAAAACCTGAAGTTTGAGATGTCAAATTCTTCATCAGGAAATAAATTTCATGCATTTTATTTCACACCTTTTTATCAGAAACGGGAGGAGTGGGGAAAGACAAATGTATGCCAAGGAAGCCTGATTTCACTGGAATTAGATAATGACAAACAAGTTTATTATATTGCTCAATGGGAAAACACTTGTAGATTTTAACATGTTTAATAAGATCATATTAAAACAGGTGAACAATACTGTGGTATTCCACATGAGACAACAAATGTCACTTGTTTTACTGGGTCTGGATATGGCCACAGTAATAGGCATAGAATAGCAACAGTCCAACATCTCTTTCACACACACAAACAAAAAAGGCAAAGAAAAAATGATTCCTCTATACAAAGATGTACTTTAAGCTTAAAATTAGGTTCAGGATGCTCAGATAGCCAGTGTGACAATGAGATTTGTAGGTGTGTCACCAAACTGGCAGCTATCTCTCGGATCCTGACAGTCGCACCTTGTCCTGCAAGCACAATGTCACAAAGACATCTCGAACAGCAAATGGAAGACAATCTGGTCTCACACCACAAAAGACACTTCAGAAAACAGCAAGCACAAGCTTCGCAACTTGTCTGTAGCAAGTTTTGCCCAAGCAAAAACTCAAAACCAATGACCAAACTGTAAAGCACTGTTCAAGCAGAACAGCCACTCGACCTCCAAAAAGGAAATTTTTCATCTATTTTGTTTTGGAGTATGAAAGGTTCAAATTAATCAGACTTTGACCTATGTTTGAACACAAACTTTTAATAATCTCAATAAAAAAACTAACTCAGGAGTAACATGCAGAACTGTATTACCAAACCTAAAGGTTTCGAATATGATTAGTGAGCATTCAAATAGGAAATCACTCTTCTCAAACAAAGTCAATTTCAGAGGTCAGCTTCTTAATGCTACAAAGTTCTTAAAAAGGCTACCCATTTCATAAGTTACTTAATAAACAAGCAAACAAAATAAACAGCTTCTCACCTTGTTATCGAACTCAATTTATCAATATCAACTAGATAAATTTTAAGGGAGACAACAGGTGATTAAATTTAAAGTGTAAAGTACTGCGCATAGGATAGATTAATAAGCTGCTAAAGTAAATGCTTAAATGAAATGCAAAAAAGCCACAGAAGTTAAAATTAAAGGCTGAGAGGTTTTTAGTAAATTTAAAATGTTCTACATTGGGTGGATGTGTCAATAGAACAGAGAACCATTCAATTACAAAACCAGAACTATAACTTGCAGGAGACCACGTTCACAAAAAAAAAAACTTAGTGTTCGTGTCAGAGATAGTAGGAACTGCAGATGCTGGAGAATCTGAGATAACAAGGTGTAGAGCTGGA